GGAGAGAGGGAATTTAAGAGACTGTTTTAATAGTTCTGGTGAAAGATAAGCTCTGAACCAAGGAAGCAGTAATGGTAATGGAGTTGGTGAGGAGGGGACAGATCTGAAAGATGTCAAGAAGCAGAACTGATAGGATTTGGTCATCAAAAAGGTTAGTGTGTTGGGGGAGGTGTTTGGATCCAGATGTTTGGAAGAGGGAAGAAAAGCCCTGACCTTTTCTCTCTAAGGAATGAGTTGACAGTACATAACATCAGTAAAGCTAGGGGCCAAGGAAGCACAGAACAGCCCAGGAATGAGACCATGTGAGATGATAGCTGGGTCAAGTGGATGGCAAAGAGAATGCTATACAGTCAAGGCAAATCCTTTTAGGTGAGCATTGGGTTCCTACCTACCCCCTGCCCCCTGACCATTACTCCTGTACTTGTATCCTCTGTGTGCTGCACTGACAGTGGTTCTGTCTTATTGCATATCATTCAAAAATGCTGTAATATCTCCTAACCCAAATTCTTCCACATTCCAACTACCATCTCATTTTCTTGTTCCCTTTCTTAGGAAAACTGAATTGTCTGAACTCTCCTCCACTTCTATTTCTGTTCCCTCTTCTACTTCTTGTCCTTCCATTTTCTTGAATTCCTTCCAGTTAGGCTTTCCTTCCTACATCTCCCATATCCTCTCTTATCAAGATCACAGTGACTGCCATGTTGGCAAATCAAATGACCATTTCTCATACTTTCTCTCACTTGACTGTTGGCAGATGTGACTCAGTTAATCCCTCCCTATTTCTTGAAGTTCTCAGGATATCACTCTTCATGGTTTTTCTCTTTCCTCACCAAATGCCCTTCTTTGCTAATTTCCTCCTCATCCTGACCTCAAACACTGGAAAGAAATCCCAGGATTCAGTCCTTGGACTTCTTTGGCGATGTTTATACCTTAGATGACCTTCTCTGGTCAGATAATCTAAAATAAATATCTGTATATTACTAATCACTCCCAAATTGAATTGAATAATATGAATTCCATTTTACCCAGTGCTCAGGCCCAAAATCGTGTGTCATCCTTGACTTCATCCCTCACTCCCTTCATCTAGCTCATCAGAGAATCCTGTTGACCAAGCTCTCAAAATAGATCCCTCTCTACTGCTACCATTGTAATCTGAGCCATCATAATGACCTTGTCTAGATTGTTGCAGTAGCCTTCCAATTAGCCTCCATCTTCACACCTCTACACATCATTCTCTGATGTGAAGTCAGGTCACATCACTCCTTTCCACATCCCTTTAGGAGCTTCCTTCTACTTTTAAGTACAAGCCCAAGTCTTATCAGTGGCCCCTGGTGTCTTCCATGAGAGGCCTTGGTGTCTCTCTGACTAATCTCCAGCCCACTGCTCTTCTCTTATTTCACACTGGCCTCCTTGTTGCCCTTGGAATACAGTAAGTATGCCATTGTCTCAACCTGTATGCTCTTTCTGTCTTGAACACATTGCTTCCTTCCTTTTGGTTATGTTTACATATTCCCCTGGCAAAGGGCCTTCCATAATCTTCCTATATAAAGCAGAAACTCATCCCCACTATGAATCTCATCCTATCCTTCTCTCTCTCTCTCTCTCTTTCTTCTCTCCCTTCCTTTTCTTTCTTTCCCTATCTCCCCCTCCCTCTCCTTCTCTTTTATTTTTTCCTTCTTTCTTTTCCTTCTTTCACAAGGTCTCTCTGTGTTGCCCCTGCTGTCCTTAAGCTTGTAATTTTCCTGTCTCAGCCTCCAGAGTAGCTAGAATTATAGGCATACACCACCACACCCAGCTCTCCTTTATTCTTTATTGGCCTCATAACTGACAGAATTGCTTTGCTTACTGACTAATCACTGTAAAATGAAGCAATGCTGTGTTTGTCTACCAAAATGTAAACTATAGAAAAAGAGACTTTATATTTTTACTCTTTGCTGATCCTTAATGCCAAGAATGGTACCTAGAATGTGCTTGGTGCACAATATAGATTGATCAGATGGGTGAGGAGCCAAGGTGCATCTCAAGGCTGGTGCAGCTGACACTGTGGTCTGGGTAATAGGTATCTTCCTTTGTTCCCATGTTCAGTGAAGGTTATCAAGTTGCTGTCCCTAGAGCTCTGAAGAAAGGAAGCTAGATTTTCTGTCAGTAGTGGAGTGAAGACCAGACATAAAAGTAGTGTTTGCTCAGATGGTTGGCTTCTTGACACTGCCTGGATCTAGGCACTGCCATTCTGCTGGCCACTATTTCCTCTTGCCCAGCAAGGGGAGAATTATCTTACATTCATTTCCAATATCAAGTTGAGGACTAAGAAACAACTAGAGAGAATGAAACTGAAGCCCAAGAATGAGCAATCTCTCATTCATTCCAACATGTGCTATATGCTCTGTAAACTCATTGTCACAAAGAACCAGCATCCTGACACCTGTCTCTTTTAAGCATCCCTGCTCTAGGTGACAGGTTCTTCTGAACTCTTCCCTAACCTGGGAACAGAGACTGATGGACACAATTTATCTCACCTCCAAACGAGAATAACTAAAGTCAAGTCCTTTTTTGGAATGTAACCACTCATTTCACTCATTTGCTTAGGAGGATGGACTGAAGAATTTTTTTTGTACTAGGGATTGAATCCAGAGGCACTTAACCACTGAGCCACATCCACAGCCCTATCCTCATTAAAAAAAAATTAAATTTTGAGGCAGGGTCTCACAAAGTTGCTTAGTGCCTTGTTGAGTTGCTTAAGCTGGCTTTGAACTCATGATCCTCTTGCTTTAGCCTCACAAGTCACTGGGATTATAGGCATGTACCACTGCACCTGACTAGGACTGATGGATGTACATGAGCAAGCAGTGACAGCAGCTTGGCTCAGGGGCAGCTGGCTGCTGTCTTTTGGATGGCATGGCACTCTGGAGTCCAGCTTTGAAAGCCATGGTGTCATGATCAGGTAGGTCTTTGCAAGGTGCAGTGTTTGCCAAATCCTGCATCTTTTACATCTATGGTTCCATAAAATAAATGAGACCTAAGGTTTGTGTCAGATCTCCTAAGGCTGGAGCCTGGTGTACTGTCCTGCTCCAGCTTACCCTAGCGGGGGCTGAGGCTTGCTACATTTACACATCCTCACTGGACAGTCTCTTTGGTCATTGGCTTGGCTGGGCTCCGAATTTCTCTCATCTGTGCCCATATACATGTAGGATAGCTCTTGTTTGACTTGCCCTTTTAAAAACAACTTAAGCATGTTGAGGTTTCCTGTTGATCGGGGGCAGCCAGAGGCTATGACCCAAGAGGGAATTCTTGGCCAGTGCCTAACTCACCCGAGCTCCAGTTTTCTGTACATGAACAAGTGGTGACAGCAGCTTGGCTCAGGGGCAGCTGGCTGCCGTCTTGTGGATAGCATGGCATTCTGGAGTCCAGCTTTGAAAGCCATGGTGTTATGATCAGGTAGGTCTTTACAGGGTGCAGTGTTGGCCAAATTCTGCTATCTGTGAACAAAACCTATTCAGAAAGAGTTCCTTAATTTGACAGTGATTTCTATAGTAGACAGAAAGATGCGTGTAGAAGTTTGCTCATGGTTCTCTTCAATAAGCTCATTTACCTTTATCTTTGCCTTTTTTTGTTCATTCGCTAAGCACTTTCTACATACTGACTATGTGTCCCTTGACCTAGAAGAAATAATCTAGCAGGGAAGACAAAAGTGTTCCCTGATACTTAAAAATGCTGCATTCTAGCCTGGGGTGTGCCCAGTGCTAGGGGTTTCTGTTGAGCCATATTTGAAGGCCCAGTGGTTCACAAAGATGACAGAGGCTACTTGGTTCATATCTGTCATCCCAGCGACTTGGGAGATTGAGGCAGGAAGATCACAAGTTGGGGGCCAGCCTCAGCAATTTAGCAAGACCCTGTCTCAAAATAAAAAATAAAATGAGCTGGGAATGTGGCTCAGTGGTTAAGTGTCTCTGGTTTCAATATTTTGTACTAAAAAAAAGATGTTAGAGGCTACTGCTTATTCATTATAGAGAGGCAACATAATGTAGTGTAAGGTTATGTCCTGTCTTCCCTTACGAACTGAGTGACCTTGGATGAGATATTTAACATATCTTAGTGTCTTTGATTTGTACTATGAAGTTAATGTAGTAACACATAATAATAACCTTATAAAACTTACATGAAGATTAAATAAGTTAATATGTGTAAAACCATTGAGAACTGTTTTTAGTATTTGCTAAGGTCTATATATGGATTTGGAGCTGGAAGATAGCTGAGGCTTGTTGGATGTGATGCCACTTTTGTAGGATGGAGCTATCTAAGGAGTTATGTCCCTTCTCCATTGGTCTCCTGATGGAGAGGGCAGAGAGGACTCTTTCTTGAGGATTTTTTTTTTTTAACTTTGTTCTGGCCTTGGGGAATCCTAGTTCCTGTTAGGACCCAAGTGAGGAAGTAGGATTTTGTGTTCAGTAGCATAGGTGTAGGAGAGAGGGGATTAATAGTTCAGGGAAAGATCAAAGTATGTATTTGGGTTACTTCAGGAAATAGTGTGTGCTGAAGCTGCCTTGTACCAGCTCACAGGAGTTGATCACTCTACATGCTGCCCTCTCACTCTATATTTAATGGTATCACAATAGTAGCTGAGGAATAGTAGGAATATTTATACTGTAGAAATTTGTTAGCCATTTAATAGTGTATCACTGATCTCACTGACCTCTTGTTGGCAGATACAGATTCTTGGGATTTCTAGACTGTCATAGAACAGGCTTCTGCTCCTCACATTATGTGGGGTCTCTGGGGGCAAGTTGGGCAAAGAGGCCCATTGAGTTTGGCTTGATGTGGCTTAGGAGCTGTTTCTCTCCTTGAGGACATCCTTGAAGGTGCATTGCTTGAACAGAGTGCTTTTGACTTTGAGAGTTCTACAGGAAAGAGATGCTGGGTTCTCTAAGAATAAAACATGATGCCTCTGGTTTTTAACCTACTCACTAATGTTTTTGTTTTTTTTTAACTTTTTTTGCTTCTAGGTCTCAGTCAGTCTCTCCACCTCCAGTTCTGTCCCCACCAAGGAGTCCCATCTATCCCCTCAGTGATAGTGAAACCTCAGCCTGCAGGTACCCTACTCATTCCAGCTCCCGAGTGCTTCTCAAGGACTGGCACCGCTGTGATTCTTTACCCCGAGATCCTCAAGATCCTTCCCCAGATACTTCTCCACCCATCTGTCCTATCAAGGCCACTAGCTCCAATTATTTGGACAGAAGCCCTTCAGTGTGCAAAAGAGAGAACCAGAAGGAGAATGTCCAGTGTGCAGCCCAGGATGTAGAGGGAGTAGCTGCTTGCCTCCCCCTTGCCCAGAGCACCCCATTCCTAGGGCCAGCACTTGGCTCACGGAGTGTCTTGCTGACCCGCACTGGCACCCGTGCCCACAGCCTGGGCATCCGGGAGAAGATTTCAGCATGGGAAGGTCGCCGAGAGACTTCGCCCAGGATGAGCCTCTGTGGAGAGAAACGGGAGGCCTCTGGGGGTGAGTGGGTAGTCAGTGAGGGCTGCCCCAGCGTGGTGCCATCCCCCTGCAGCTCAGAAAAGACCTTTGATTTCAAGGGCCTCCGGAGGATGAGCAGGACCTTTTCTGAGTGTTCCTACCCTGAGACCGAGGAAGAGGCAGAGACACTCCCTGTCCGGGACTCTTTATACCGGCTGGAGAAGCGGCCAGGCCGGAGTGAGCCCAGTGCCTTCCTCAAGGGGCATGGCAGCAAGAAAGAAAGCTCAGCAGTGCTGAGCCGGATCCAGAAAATTGAACAGGCCCTGAAGGAACAGCCAGGCCGGGGGCTCCCCCAGCTCCCCAGCAGCTGCTACAGTGTAGATCGTGGGAGAAGGAAGACAGGAACCTTGGACACCTTGGAGGAACCAATAGGGAGCGCGAGTGTGAGCTCTGGCACCTGGGCAGCAGGAGTGCCTGGAGTTGGGGGGGAGGCGGGCCTGCCCCTGGAGAGGGAAGGCAGTGGTTCCTTGAAGCCAGGGACCCCTGGAAATAATCCTGACTCCCAGCTGCTGCCATCAAAGAGCTCCCCTGATCCCGCTGTGAACCCTGTCCCCAAACCCAAGCGCACCTTTGAATATGAGGCTGACAAGAACCCCAAGAGTAAGCCAAGCAATGGTCTACCTCCTTCGCCCACACCTGCTGCTCCACCCCCCTTGCCCTCCACCCCAGCCCCACCAGTCACCCGGAGACCCAAGAAGGACATGCGTAGTCATCGCAAGTCCCAGAGCAGGTAACATGCCCTTCCTTGTGTCTTATAGTGGGACATAGTGGCTTTCTTTTAAATGAAGGATGCAAAAGCAGATTGTAGTGTGGAGTGCTTCCTAGACTCTGAAGCACTGAATAACCATTAGTTTGGTGGTGGTTGTAGTGAAAAATGTTTCTCTTTTCTCATAGGATATGTGCATGGGCGTGGGAGGATGAAGACACTTCTTCCCATTTCTATGTATTGCAGATGTTGGCTGGGTTTGGCCTTTAGGGTAGAGCTGGGCTCTTTCCTGAGCCCAACTGAAACTCCTTAATCTTTCATGGGAAGATCAGAGCCATCATATTCTTAGGTCAAGCAGGTGGTCCCTTGAGGAGACTGGTAGGGTCTCAGCCTCACTATTACCTGAAGTGCCAGCACTGGAAACTTTTCTAGTGAAGAATTATCTGAATATTGCATTCTATGATTCACACAGTAGTGTTAGCAAATTTAACATGATTCTTCTCTCCTGAGGGCCTCCTAGCCATATGGAAACTCTGGGCCTGTTTCAAGAGAGGATTCTTAGATCTTGAAAGGGAAGACCGATGGAGGAGGGAAAGATGAAACTGATGGAAAAAGGAGTGAAAAAAAAACCCAAAACATTTCACCTTCTTCTTGGCTAAGTCCAAGAACTACCTATTCTTAGCTTCTTATTCGTTTCCCAGTCAGCCTTTCTGACCCTGGACTACCAGGGCCCACAGTGACTTGGGAGCTGGAGCTGCTGGAGTTGGTTAAAATTGACAGGCATCTGTTCTCTGAAGGTTGGGAGCCAGCTTCCTTTGGAAGAGTTTTTCTCCTCCCTCTCACTGCCTTTCTCAATTAGCTCAAAGACAGATGGACATTCAGGTTTGTTTCATTTCTGGGGATTCTTCAGTCTGTTCCCATACCTTGGGCTTAATCCACCATATCCCATCTCATGTTAAATTTTCCTGCCATGTGTATAGAGGATGAATCACAAAGGTTCAGACCCCTGAGCCAGAACACCCCATGGCTAAGGTTAATCCCATGTTTTGGCCCACCCCAGAATACTCAGTTGCTCTTTAATTCTTTACCAGCCTGCCAGGATTGTTTGCTTTGTCCTTATTCATCCATTTCTACAAACACCCATCCAGAGCTTTCGGTGCACCAAGCCTTGTGCTGGTCAAAGATACACAGAAGCAAATAACATGGTTCTTCCATTCACAGACTTCATGGACTAGTGCACAGATAAATTGTAGACACTGTGAGGTGTTCCATGACCCGTGTCAGCACAGGACTCTGCAAATACCCAGAGGCAGGTAACTTAAACTGGGGAGTGAGGGGAAGCCCCTCAAAGACAGAATTGCTAACCTAAATTTAGAAGCAGTTAACTAGGTAACAAGAGGGAATGGGGGAGAGTTCATTTATATGTAATATATACATAAATATCACACACACTTTATATGGTAGAGTTACTTTATATAAGAATTTAGCAAATGAAATCTTTGCTCTTGGAAAAAAGAGAAACAGTTTTAAACGTGTAAGCTGTTCTGTTTGTCTTACCACAAGGTGAACATATTCCTCTGAGGAGAATGAACTGGTAAGTTTGTACTCTTAGCCAGGTGTGATTCTTATATACTTTTTAATCATTTTTAAATTTTTATTTATTTATTTATTTATTGGTGGTGCTGGGGATTGAACCCAGGGCCAAGGCAAGCACTTTACCAACTGAGCTATATCCCCAGCCCCCCTACTTTTTCATTTTTTAAAAATGCAGGTCTGCTGATATTTGATCAAAGAAAAAGAAATCTGTTTAAAAAAATCAAGAAGCACTGACTATATTTGTCTTAATGAGAGACAATATGTGAGGGTCTTCAATATAGTACCTTTCTGGCAGATTCTCAAAGATAACTTGACAGAACATGATTTGTGTCTCATTCACGGACTCGAGAGAACTGCTTGCCTAAGATTGATGCTTTTCTGCTGTATGTGCCAGCGGATACTTGGTCTTACATCAACATTTGGGAACCACTACACTCAGCTGTTGGATATTTAACTAGTCAAGAATTTCTGAGCCAGACACAGAAATTTGGTATGAATGTTAGATAGGGTGTTGGTCCATGGATATTTACCCCTAGTAAGTGCAGATGGGGGTGGGGAAAGAGTCCTGAAGACAGAATTCTGACAGATCCTGGCATTTAAAAGGCAAGTGAAAGAGTATCCTTCACAAGAGCCTGAAAAATAACTGCCACAGAGGTAGCTGAAAACTGGGAGGCAGTGCGTCATAGGGGCAAGGGAAGAGAGTGCCAGCGTAGAAGGTTCTATTGTGTTGAGTGTGGAAGAGGGGCCAGGCCAGCCAACAACACAATGTGGTCTTTAGGACATTTTCAGTCATTGATTTGCTTCCTAGGATTCTTAGTAGTTGTTTGGTAAACAAGAGAGAAAAGGATGTCATTGGAAGAGGGAGGTGTTCATGGGAGGGATTCCTCCTCAGGAGCCCGCTTGGGACTTGCCTTGAAGAGGGACAGGATACATCTGGGGTCCCAACTTAGATGAGGGGAGAGGCATAAGGAGTGCTGTGGGCTCAGGGCATCTTAGGGACTGATAAGCTGTGGTTGAAATTCCACAGTAGAGGGACAATAACCTAGGGGTGGAAAGGAACAAGCAGCTACCTGGAGAGAAGTTTGTAGATTGTCCTCCTAGCTCTACCTCAGAGGCATTTGATTTGTTTTGAGGGTTTAGTCCTTGCTATTTCAACAAACCAGCCCATGCCAACCAGTCACTCCAATCTCCTTATTTGTAAAATGGCACAGTACCTGTCAGAACAATTATGAAGTTTAATGAGATAATATGTATAAAGGTGCATTTGATGCAGTACTTGACACCAACAAACAAATGTGAGTAGTGTCTAGAGGCCTCCCTGCTAATGAGCTGTCGTCTATCCTCTAGACTTCCGTGGTGCTCCGAGCTACATTCCTCTGACCTCATCCCAAATATCCTGTATCATCAGTGGTCCTCAGAGGGGCCTCTCCTACCTCTGTGTGATGCATATCATGCTTTTAAGCTGTGGTAACCATTACCTGATGTTGGTGTTACTAGGGATGAGGCATATTGCAGGCACCCGCACTGGGACCCTTTACACCATACATTCTCATTTGCATGGAAAGTTTGGATCCACCTTAATGCTTTTTTTCGGTAGCTGGTTTTCTGAGGAGGACCTCTAGTTTTTGTTGTCTGTGGCCATTTCCCAATGAGGCAGCAGAGATCTGGCTCAGTGGGAATGACTTTTGCTCTTATTATTCACAGAAAATCCTTTGAGTTTGAGGATGCATCCAGTCTCCAGTCCCTATACCCCTCTTCTCCCACTGAGAATGGTACTGAGAGCCAACCCAAGTTTGGATCCAAAAGCACTTTAGAAGAGAATGCCTATGAAGATATTGTGGGTAAGCAGTGGCAGATGTGGTGGGCTGGGCCATCTCGGGGGTATGCAAAAGAATAGGAAACAGGAGATCCTCACAGGTTTGCCTGTGCGCAGATGTGTTCTTATCTTGGAGAATGCCTCCTTGAAATGGGCATCAGAGGAAGTACCTTAGCAAGATAGAGCATCTGAGTGACTAAAGCCTAACCCTAAAGTGAACTGAAATCCAAAAGGCCTTTGGGATCACATGAAGGGAAAAATGAATCATTCCTTTCTTTTACTTTTGAGACATGAGAGCCCAACAGGCACTCTTCTTAGCTGTGTGTCCTTAAGCAAATCACTTAACTGTTGTGAGGGCTCTGTTTTTCTCTTATAAAGTGATCATGATGTGATATGAACCACCATAAAAATAGTAACAGTAATAATACTTTTTAAGGTTTTTGTTAGAATTAAATGAGCTAAGAATAAGACACTGGCAGATTCAGTGTCTGGTGAGGGCCTGCTTCCTGATTCAAAGACATCTGTCATCTCCCATGTGACTGAAGGGGCGGGGGAGTTCTCTGGCGTCCCTTTTATAAGGTCACAAATCCCATTCATGAAGTTTCTGTCCTCTTGACCTAATTACCTCCTAAAGACCCCACTTACCAGTGCTAATTAGGGATTAGGTTTCACCATATGCATTTTCAGGGGGCACAGACATTGTTTTTAGTATAAGCTAACAAATTTCATAGCCCTAGATTCATAGATGCTTTTAGAAGACATCAGACTTTTAGGTTATAGATAAAGTACTTTATTATTTATGACACAGCAGGCAGCATGAGCTTAATGTTCCCCCGGGCCCCCTTGCTCACAAGTCCTATGCGGCAGTATGGCGGAGGCCCACGTAGAAGCTCCATACTGTGTCCCAGCTGAAAAACCCGAGAGCCTAGTCTTGGTAAAACCTAGTCTTCTCAGGGGCTACCAGCAAACCTGCCAACCTTTGCCTACAAGGAAACATTATCATTCCCGATCAGGAAATAAATCTCCCTCTCCTCAGAAGAGAGAAAAATATCTCCATTTTTCCAAGGCTGTTTGCTGTATAAACATCTGGAAAATATAGTCCAGAACTGTCCTTTGCTCAGAAGAAGGGCAGAAATGCAATACTCCATGGAAAATTGTTTCCAACAAGTGGAAGAACATGGTGTTGGCAAACTTGAGTGCAAAGGTCAACAAAAAATAGATGGTCTAGGCTGAATTGAGTTCATTTTTGGCATTCATTTTAATTCTGATCTCATCCTCGTCAGTGGGGGGCTTTGATTCTGCTTAAATAAAGTGTGTGTCTTAGTGTAGGTCAGTGAAGGGGAGGTAAGTGGTATGCTGTGTGCTTGCTTGCTTCTGCCCTCAGAACCTTTTTTTCTTTTTCTTTTTGACTAGGGATGGAAGTCAGGGACACTTTTACCACTGAACTCCATCCCCAGTCCTTTTTCAAACATTTTTTTTTCAAGATAGGGTCTCACTAATTGTTGAGGGTCTTGCTAAGATGCTGAGACTGGCCTTGAACTTACAATCCTCTTGCCTCAGCCTTGGAGTCACTGGGATTACAGGCATGCACCACCATGTCTTTGGTTTGGAAACTGGAGAGCATAGTCTTAGAATTTACACATTAGAGAAAGAGTGAACCCTCCAAATTTTCAGAATATGGGAATCTTGTGAAGAGATGACCATTTAGTTGGTCATTTGATCGGAGCCATCACTTTCATAGTTTTCTCCTTACATCTTGCTGGACTAGCATTTCTGGGGAGATTAGCAGCCATGCTCCAACCCAGATTATCCAGGAATGATGCATATAGTATATAGCCATGCAGTACTGGACCATAGTAGGAAGACTGTAGGAGTGAGAGCCCTAAAACAACCGAACAGTTTTGGGAGGGAGGACTTTTCCCTTTCTTTTGGGGAAATGACAGCTTTGTACCCATGATCACCCAGAGCTGAGGTAGGGCTATGGGGATCAGAGCCAAAGATTCAGAAATGAGATGAACTGTTAAGGAAGATGTTCCAATCCCAACTCTACTTCATACAGCCCTTGCCCCTAGCTCTAGTTCATCTTTGCCCTGGGGCTGAGGGAAAGCTTCTGGGGACTTCAGTGGAATGCAAGCTAGGGACAGGGACAGTCAGCCTGTACTGCAAAGCCTTTTGAGTTTACACTCAAATTGTAATATCACTGCTGCCCAGGGCTCTTGAGAACATCTACTTTGGCTGTTGCCGCAGTGGTCAGAGAGGCTGGAGTTTTCTGTTATCCCCCCTGCATACCCAGCCCTAGAATACTGTAGTCCTCACTGTTTTCTGACAAGAATTGGAACCCTTATATTGCTGCCCAAGAACATTATCCAGGTGGGGATATGTTCTTTAGCAATTGAATGGAAGTAAGAGAAGGAGATAGACAGCTTCAACTGTTTTTCCCTGTCCAGAGTTTATGATCCAGGACTCTGCTTATGGTTATTTAGGGGGAGGGTCTAGGAAAAAGTTTTGGAGGCACTAGACAACAGAACTGTTTCCTGGGCTGCTTTAGGTCTAGTTAAAAGGAGCACAGAGAGGAGACAAGTGTCTGGGACTCTTCTCTTCACTCAGAGAGACTTCCTTCTGTGTTGGGATGTTCCATGTGGTGGCAAGAAAACATAGGAGCAGCTGGTTGCTTCTTGAATGAATGAGGTAGAGCAAGGGGTAAGGAATATACAGGGTAAAGTTGGGGTTGGGGGATCTTCCTTAACTGCTCACCTAGCTTCTGGATCGCTGGAGCATTGTGTAGAGAACAGGAGAAAACTGAAAGGGGGAGGCTGCAGGAAATAGGGCAGGAAAGTGATCCAGGCACCTGTTTTTGGTGTTTAGGTTTTGTGGGTTGGGGTGGAAGTGGTCTTGAGAGTCTGCAGTTAGAACATATTTTTCCCCCACAGCAGCCCAGTCTGAATTTTCTAGAACCTCACCAGGGAGGATAGAGGGAAATACAAGGGAGAATATTCTCTTCCTAATTAGATACTGATTGATTTATCCTTTTTTCCCTCCCTGGAGAGAGCTCAAAGAATTTGGGGCCCCCCCTAAAGGATTCAGGGGGTCTCTTGTTGCTGAACTCTGAATGTCAGATTTCACTTTTTAACCCCAGTTTGACCAGTGGCTCTGACTTTCTGGGAGCCCTCTGGATTGTCCCACCAGACTATACTTTGTGGATTTAAGGTTGTTTCTGACTCTGGCTGGATTATTCAGCTATTGTGTGTCGCTTGTCCACAGGGACAAACCCACAGGAACAAGCAGAGCTTTGTTTCAGGCATGTGATGCTTATGCTGAAAGGAAGGCAGAAAGAACCCATGCTAAATCTCCATCTTGGGTACAGATGATTGGACTCTAGTTCCCTAGTCTGTTAGGAGGTTGAGGACTTGTTGGCCCAGAGTCTTCACTGTGTGCAGTGAACTTGAATGAAGGGCCTTGGGGAATCCACTGGCCTTGAACCCACACCAGGCATTATGCCTGGGGAAATGGGGTAGGATATCTGCACAGGCTGAGGTTTTGCCTGCTAACTTATAATAGAAAGATTCAAAAAGAAAGTTGCTGCCGTGCTGCTTCCTGGGGCTGTTTAATTCTTGCCCATCTAATTTGATATCTGCCCTTGTAAGATGCTGCTGTTCTGCAAAGCCTTAAAATCATTTGCATTCTGAGCCTGACACTGAAGAATTCACCCAAGGAAGCAGCTTGTTAGGGAGTTATGTGGAGTGGCCTCGGCGCCTGACCAAGGAGCCTGGGCTGCATTCCTGCAGAGATTCCCACTCCCATCAGCTAGCTAGGGCTGAGGGAGAGTTTCCAGGAACTTTAGTGGGATGCAAGCTGGGGACAGGGCCAGTCAGCCTGTACTGCAAAGCCTTTTGAGCCTACACTCTCTCTGCCTTCTTCTCTCATTCACCTCCAGGCTGGGCAACAGTAAGGAACAGAGGGCACCTACCAGGATGGAGGTTGCAGCAGGAAGCAAAGCAGCCAAGAGGTGCAGCCCAGGGAAAGGTGCTGGGGCTGTTGGGAATTGGTGTCAAGGCTTGGAGGGTGGGTACAAGCTGGCCCCAGGGAGTTGGGCACCTGGCCTCATCCTTTCTCTACTGTTAGAAGGAGGGGGAGAGGTGGAGACCCAGGAGAAACAGCCACTTGGAAAAAGAGGAAGGTTGGGGAAGGAAGCTGCAGACCAAGGCCCTAACAATGGTCCAGGAAGCTTGGAGTTTGGAGAAATTCTCAGATTCTGTACATATACACATACCCCCTAACTGGTTCTTCCAGTTGGGGGATAGGGGGAGGGGGTGGGTGTTGCATGTGTGTTTAATAACCCAAGGAGCTATGGGGAGGAGTGGGAGTAGAGACAGGGCCTGGTGGGGTTGGGTTGGTTCTTCCTTCAAGAGGATCAATGTACTAAGATTGGGCTGTAACAAGCCCCTTTTAGAAGAGTGCAAAACAGAAATTGTTGGTCATGCCCTTGTCGCCTATTTCATTAGCAAAGCTGGGAAAGTTTGAGACCTCTGGCCTCCCCAGCTGAGCTTGATAAGGGCCAGGCCTCCAGAGAAGACAGCCTACCTCTTTATCCCTCTCCAAGCTCAGTATGAACTGTCCTTTGTAGGCCATGTGGGCAAGAACCCAGGTAGAAGTCTTGCTGTCTGTCACGTTTCCTGTTTCCTGTCCATGCCTGCTAAATCATCCCATGCTTCTCCACTCAGCTCTGTCTTCTCCAGCCATCCTGTAGTTGTTTTCCTGTAGGACTTTCTGATTGCCATTTCCCACTCTTTGCTTTGATGTTTACTTGGTCTCAGCAAATTCAGTTTAGTGGCTCTGGTACTCAGGGTCTGCTTATTCTTTGCACACCCGCATCCCTGGGGCATCCTTCCTGTCTGGAGAGATGACAGAGAATCTGTTACGTAGTCAGGGATAATCTGTAAAGTTGGGGGTCACAGATGGACTAGGGCTGCTAAGGAACCTAACTGAGGCTGGGGAGGAAGGGCTTGGTCTGGGGTCAGCATTCATTTCCTGGAGAAGTGATAAGGGCATAGGTTACATTAGAAAAGAAAGAGACTGGCATTAGGGCTGGGTAGGAGGAGTGGACATTTTAGACCTTCCTGTAATCAAGTTTCTAGAGACAGTAGTAGTGTGGAGAACCTGATATTTCCAACTATCTTCCCTAAAAATATCACAGATATGCATAAATAGTATATTACTTCAGGGCCTCAGCGTCCTACATCTTGTTCTTAGAACTTTAGATTTTTTATCACATTTCAAAGCTCTTACTCTGGAAGAAAAGGAAGGGGAGGGAGAAGAAAAGGAGGGGAAAGATGAAGGAAAAGAGGGTTAGTCTTGGGACTCATGGCATGGTGCTCAGAAGGTATTAGGAAGTTTAGAAATATCTTTCTGAAGCAATGGTTGTCAGTGGGGGACAATTTCATCCATCTCTCCCCTTCCTCTCTTCCTTCCATCTATCCATTCACCTGTCTGCCCACAGGTGTCATTTGGCAGTGTCAGTATTTTTGGTTGTTACATCTGAGGGATACTAATGTCAGCTAATTGATAGAGGCCAGGGTTGTGGCAACTAAACTTCCTACGAATGGACAGGTCAGCCTAGCCACCCAAAATGTCATTAGCTTAGAGAAACTCTGATCAAAACAGACTGAGACAGGTCTTCCGATGGGTTGAAATGATGATAAGGATTCTGACTGGTCATGTATCCAAGGCAATTTGGATTTGATAAACTTGGAATAAATCTGCCCTGATCTGGACACTGATGCTCTGGTTCTGTTTTATGGAATTGGGAAGAATGTGTTCTGGAATTCTATTCTTAATCCCCTTTACCACCTCACCTTTACAGGATATATGTTGGAGAGGGTCCAAGAAGTAGAAAGTCCACCCTGACTCCTCCTAAAGCATCCCCACAGTGGAGTGGGCTGAAGAAATCATGCGGGGGATGCCTGGTTTGATATTTGGCTTCTTGAAGCAGAGCTAATGGGCTGGCTTTGCTTAGTCAGGGCTCTGGAATGGAGACGAGTCATTTCAAAAGCATGAGCGTTACAGGAAAAGATTTGCTCCATTGCTGGGGACCCTGCTTGGTATTGGGAATCACTTAATCCAGTTCTGAATCTTTTCTTGACCCATCCTTGGCTCATAAGTTTATAGAGATTTGTGTTGTTCCCACTGTAGTCTCATTAGTTGTGACTGCAATTTTCACTTCACACCTCCACCTCTGTAAAGTACTTCCTGAATTCACTGTGGTTTTTCATGATGTTAATAAGTATGCCACAATTTGAAGGAACCTCATCTTTTTGAGGACTTTCTAAGAATATAGGGGTTGGTTTTTCTCTTATGGTCTGTCTGTTTCCAGTCTTATAGTTTTTCTGCTTGCTACCAGAGGAGTGCAGTCTGAGCTGCTCTGGGTTGTAAGTCACAGGACAGCATAGGACTCAGTAGTCACCCAGGCTAAATCCTGCTGCTGATGTTGAAGTGAGCCCAGCTTCACCAGATGTCCTAACCTCAGCAAAGCCTATTCTTGTCACTGGTACCCAAACAATGCTAGGTCCCAAGTCCCAAACAGTGCTGCTGGGACTGGGGAGAAGATACAGAAAGACAAGGGCAAAGGGAATGAGGGTTGTCCCTACTATGATTCTATTGCTGGAATTAAGCCATGTCTAACCTGACTCATGGTATTATTGTATTCTAGAAAATTTTAGGCATGTGTTGGAAGGGGCAGGAGGTTCTAGCTATGACAAAGAATGTCTCAACATCTTATGCTCTTCAAAAGCAGGGACTATGTTTTGGACTTTTTTGAAATTTTCTAGTAGTGTCAATATGGTGCTATTGCCAGGGTTTTAGAAACTGGTTCTGAGAAGCAGAAACTCTCCCACCCCCACTCTCTGGCCCAGAGTCCTTCCAAGCCTTCACACCTCCCTGTGTCACAGCAGGAAATTTTGTGCCAAGAAGGGAGTGATGATAGTTCTTTTTGCTGAGATCTGCAGTAGAGGAAATAGACTGACCCGTGATCAGAGAGATCCATTGAACAAATAATTACTGAGCACTTACTACTTGATAATCATTGTTCTGGTTCTGGGGTTGCCTCAGACAATATCCTTCCCCTAAAAGAATTGTTGAACAGTGTAATAAGTAAGAGGGAAGCCTAGCAAAGCCCTGTTCCCTAGACTAGGTTCTTTGAGTTCCTGCATGACCACCCCCAAAACTGGGTTCCATGGAGACCCACCAAGAGTTGCAGTTGTGTGATTTCTGAAAGCCTTTCCTACCAAGGGGTGCATATCCCTGGGTCAGGGGTGGGATGGGGGTTTACCAACAGAGAGAGAATGAAGCCAGGGACAGACTCCTGATGCTGATTTTGTCCTCTTGCTGGGCACAGGCAGGAGTAGCTGAGCCAGTCTTGTGCAATCCCTGAATTTATAAAGCAGAGGCCGGACAAGGCTGAGCTGAGCTGAACTGGAGGTGGGGGTGCGGGTGCTCAGCTTCTGGACTTGAAGCCAGGATCTGTTTGTAGCCTTCCCACTGCAGACAGGCAGCTGTGTGACTCATGAGCCAAAGGGACCAGGCAGAAGCCATTCTCTTTGGTTCACAGGAATTCTACTTGTTTATTTGTGTGTGTAACTCTGTGTGTTTCCTTCTTCCCTTCTCCCCCTTCTTTAACTTTTCTTCCTCTGCAGGAGAGCTGCCCAAGGAGAATCCATATGAGGATGTGGACTTAAAGAGCCGAAGAGCTGGAAGAAAATCTCAGCAACTGTCTGAGAACTCCTTGGACTCTCTGCACAGGATGTGGAGTCCTCAGGACAGGAAGTACAACAGCCCACCCATGCAGGTAATGCAGCCCTAACATGAGCCTGTAGAGACAGTTGTGAGGGCCACATTGAAGGCCTGTTCTCTTAAGGTGTAAGCCTAGCTCTCACTCAGACTTTCTCCCTCACTTGGCAGAGAAGACTACCTCAGGAAAGAGCTCAGCACTCAGGGACTTCTGCCATATTGAAATCCCTGTGGAAAATTGAATTATCCTCTTAGGGGAATCCTCTCCTACCTTCTTTCTCTTACTGCCTGACCTCTGAGCTGCAAAACTAAGCCAGGAACCCCTGAGATCTCCTGTCTTAGTACTTCTCCTCCCCTTCTGTGGGAAACAGGAAGAAGGGCCCTGATTGGAGTTCTGGTATTCTGCAACTCAGAAATTATCTCAGTGCTGGCATGTGGGGGCCAGGTATAGGCCCCAAACCAGATTTGGAGAACCTGATATTCACTAGAGTCATCTCTATTGGAGGAAGTAAGAATGAATCTTGAAGAATGGACTGAAGAAGGGCAGAATGAGAGGAAAGGTAAAAAAATCAAAGGAGGTCCTTAGACATAAACTCATTTTGGTCTTGTTGGACAGGAAACAGGAGATTCAGATTTCTCTGACCTGTTCAGTAACTTATTCTGTGCAAATGGAGAGACCTGAATATTTTATAATATTGACCAGAGAATATATAAATGGTTTCTACTGGCTTTGGAGTCATATGATTATTTTTAATAAAAGATATACCCTACTAATGTGCTCTGTTCAAATAGGCTATTATTTAATGTGTAGTGCCAGACTGATTGGGTGGGAAGAGGAGATTGTGAGCTGTGGAGGAAGGAGGATTTACTGAAGAGTGAGGAGAGGCAACTCCAGATCGAGACAACTATGGGAGTCTTCAGGGGGTGCCTGCCTTCCCAGCAGTGTGTAATATCCACTGCCAATAAGATACCCCATACTGGAAGGGTATATTTGTGGTGAGGTAGTCCATTGAGTATAGAGCCCAGAGCCCTTCTGCTGTCCCTGGAAGAAGGGAGCATTGCCAGGCTGCCAGGATCATCCAGCAGAGCAAGCTGGCATGTAGTTTATGGTCTCTGTTAGGATAAACTTTGGGGACTGGCTCCATTATTCAGACTCAGTAATCTTTGTCCCAATGCTCATAAAGTACCCAGAGAATTCCTGATGTGCCTTCTCTTTCCACTCAGGTGAAAGTGCAGTTTTCTTAGCCTCTGCTTTTTTTTTTTTATTTCTGGCAAAGAAGTAAGGCTTCCTTTGGTCAAGTTAAGTATCTAATCTATTCCTGAACTAGCCAGTTGGCAATGAAGTCTTAAAAGCGTAAGCTGTGGTAGATGGAAATTCTAGGATGGGTTTCAGGGAGCCATAGATGCCAGCCCAAGGCCTCAGTGCCCAGGTTCCAACAGATGACCTGGCCAAGGTATTTGTGACAAGCCTCTCTCCCACATCCTTTTCCCCATGTCAGCTCTCCCTGAAACCCAGTAGCCAGTCCCTGCGCAGTGGGAACTGGTCAGAAAGGAAGAGCCACCGGCTGCCACGATTACCCAAGAGGCATAGCCATGACGACATGCTGCTGCTGGCTCAGTTGAGCCTGCCATCTTCACCCTCCAGCCTCAACGAGGACAGCCTCAGCACCACAAGTGAGCTGCTCTCCAGCCGCAGGGCTCGCCGCATTCCCAAGGTATCCCCCAATGGGGAGAGAGGAGGCATGGGTCTAGGCAGGGAGGCTGCCTTCCTTCCTTAATCTGGGCTGCTTTCTCATTTCCTTTTAAGTAAATTATGGGTCCTTGCACTGCCCTTTTTCACCTTATTAATTTCCTTTTCTTTTCAATAAGGATGCATTAACTGCTTCTTGGTGCTCAGATATCAGAAGAAAAAGCTAGCTCCCCATTAGTGAGTGTGATGTGGGTCTCTGTGCACACCAAAACAGTTCCAGGCTTTCAGGGACCTAAGAATTCAAACACGGGCCTTCCTTTTTATAACACTAGAAATTGTAGAGTTTTCAGCAGTGATTTGCACACATGGCAGTTCTAAGTCCCCAGCCCACAGCAGCAGGATTTAGCCAAATGGTATTTTTAGCCTGCAAACAATGCTTGGGTATATTGGGAATTTAACTTCTTCCTGTCACGGCCCCAGGTTATGCTCCAGAGGGGAAAGGCTAGAATCCTTGTTCCTGTTTTTGCATCTGAGGAGCTCTTTGTCTCAGTTGGTTCAATGACTCTTGGGACCCAGGAGCTCCCATCCTGTCTAGTTTGATCACAGTTCCTTCCTCTGGGGAGCTAAGTTTAGTGTCCTTGTCTTGGGGAAGAAGACCACTCCTAGGGGACAGAGTAGATGGAGAGCTACCAGGCATGGCTGGTGAGTTCCCACTTGAGATCATTTCAGTAGGAAGACCATTGCTGGGCCAAGTGGGTTGGGTGTAGAAAGCTTGCACCAGTAAGGGAAAGGATGGGCTCCTAATCCATTCTTGGAAGTTAGGGCAGCTGGTGTCAGGGTTACCTTACCTTCTCTGATTTTCTCATCCAGCTTGTCCAAAGAATTAACTCCATCTACAATGCCAAGAGGGGAAAGAAGAGGTTAAAAAAGCTGTCTATGTCCAGCCTTGAGACAGCATCACTGAGAGGTAGGCCTTGGTGTCTGAGCTGGTTCAACTATCTGGGGCCCTTGGACATTAGGGATGGGGAGAAATGTGGGCTTCCTTTAGTTTGCCTTTCTGCAGGCCAGTTGTGGGGTTCTTTGGCCTCCAGGGAGGGTAGTCCTGCCAGGAAATGTCTAGAGAAGGAGAGCCAGAGACGGAAGTCAGCCCTGGGATGGGTTCCTCCAGGCTTGAGGCTCTGTGTAGGCAGGTGGGTGTGGGAATCTGCTCATAGCAAAAGGAAAGACCAGACTTACTGAACACTATGGTCTGTTTTCCATTTCAAATCTTGGCCTGCTAGAGGCAGGGCCCTTATGTTCCAAGCCTGTAGGCCTCTCTGCTGGCTCATCCTCTAAGTTGGGCCTTTAGCTTCCCTGAGACCAGGCTAGTTAGGTGTTTGTATATAGAATAGCACCAATGAACTGAAGTCTGAGGGACCCTGGCCCCAGGTCACTGAACTCCTGCCCACAGATGCCTGCCCCTGGGCCCACAGCAGCCCAGACTAGATACAGATTTATCCATCATAGAAAAATTGTGGGGTTGGGGGCACCAGAAACTTGCTGTGAGGCAGTGGCTCAGCAAACTTGCACTCCTGCTGTTACTTTTCCAGATGAGAATAGTGAGAGTGAGAGCGACTCTGACGACAGGTTCAAAGGTAAGGCATGACATCACTTCCCACCTCTGGCTGCAACAGCAGTTAGTCTTCCCTTCCTCTGCAAGGGTGGTTCTAATGTCCCTAACGAAATTGGTGTGGAAAAGGCAACAGGTAGGCAAGCTGCTAGGCCACCAGAGCAGGAAGTTGTAGGGAAGTCCACTCTTATAGTTCAGCCCTGCGATGTTAATACAAAAAGTTGATCTCCCTTTGCCAAATTTAGTTCTTATGGCTCTAAGCATACTTTCCTAAGCCATTATTCATGGGAATTGGGCACTACATTTGCTTGGTAAATGTAAATCTAGTGTCAGAGATGGGTTCAGATTACAAGTACCTCTTCTGGTTGCAAGAATTGTACCAGAGACTGAGGAAACTGGTCCTCTGGAGGCCCCGAGACCACTCATCTCCTCAGTCTCTAGAGAGGAGACTGTTACAACTTTGTGCTTTCTCTACTGGAAAACCCTGCCTAGACCTCCCAGAATAATTAAAGTACATGGAAACTTGCTCCTTCTGCCCTTCCTCCCAGGCAAGTTGTCATGTGGACTTTGGACTTAGGGGCAGCCCAAGTAACAAAGGATGAGACCCTTGTGGATGTTCAGACATTCTGGTCCATGCCTTCTGTACTAAGAAGGACCAAAGGGTAGGTGCCAATGATATGTCTCAGGGCTTGCCTAACCTTGGTAGTCCAATTGACCCCAGATCAGTCTTCAGAGGTTCCAGGAAGATCCAGGCTGGTGGCTTCCTGTGGTAGAGTCTTTGTGCAGATGTCAATGCCTTGTTCCTGCCACATCTCACTTAGCTAAGGGAGGATGTCAGACAAGGCTGATGCACTTAGAGGTGATCCACAGATGGAGCCAGAGTCAGGAGTAGAGGAGCTGATGAGAGGTCTGTGAGTGGCCAGCCTGCTTTTTCCCTGATGTGTGACCTGCTCCCAGCCCACACACAGCGTCTGGTCCACATCCAGTCGATGCTGAAGCGTGCACCCAGCTATCGGACCTTGGAGTTGGAGCTGCTTGAGTGGCAGGAGCGGGAGCTCTTTGAATACTTTGTGGTAGTATCCCTCAAGAAGAAGCCATCCCGAAACACCTACCTCCCTGAAGTCTCCTACCAGTTTCCCAAGGTGAGGCTGTCTCCCCTTGTCTGCCCTACCTCCCTGCCTGCTGTCTCCTGTCCTGGCCCATCTGGGAAGAAGAGAGCATGTTTCTGTTGTAGTGCTCCATCAGTCACCACAGCCCTGTGCCTGCCTCCTCATATCCAGGAGGGAAGATAGGGCTTTGGGATGGGTTTGGGCCAGTGCTTATTCAGAGGATGAGGGCTGAGAAATGCCCCCAGCTACTCTTCCCACCTGCCCTTCTCCCCCAACCACTCTATAGTTTTCAATTCAGTGTTCTTTCTTTGTTTTTGTTTTCTAATTTAGAGCATCATATTTATACATAGTATCTGGGTTCCTTTTGACATACATACATGGAACTTGATTTCAATCCCTGTTCCCCCTCCTAAGCCCGCCCCCTTTTCTCTCTCCTCCATTCTGCTGATCTTCCTTTCACAGTTTATTTGTTTAACTTTGGTTGATACTTTTTACTTATAGGATATGTGTTCATGTGTGTATATAACTTGAATCTGTTAGATTTGTTCCATATTTCTTTCCCTGTCACTTCCTTCCTCCCTCTTACTTCTACTCCACTGATCCTTCTCCATATCTTTATAATATCAGACCCCTCCCCCCACTGTCTTCTTTCCTTTAATTATGCTTTAGTTTCCACATATTAGTTTAGTGTTCTTTAATATATTCATAGAACTTTACAATTTTAGAGTGTCTTATCACCCCAAAAAGAAAATGGGCCCACTACTAGTTCTCCCCACCTCTCCACCTACCTTATCTCTTACCATTTCTCCTCTACTCATCATCAGCCAGCCTGGTCTCATTTGTTCCTTTGAGAAAGCCCTTTTTCTCTGCCCTTACCTCTGCCTGTCTTTCTCCAGCTCTTCATATGGCTATGGACTCTGTTCAAGTGGCCCTTCTTCCAAGGTCTTTACAGATGCCCTGATGTGGCCCTTCTTCCTGCCCATTTCTCTTTCACATATTACTCTGCTTGTTTCCTTTGTGGTACATGCACCAGAATGCACAGGGTCAGGGACCTTGTCCACTTTTTTCCATCCTTAGTCCCAGCATATGGGCACGCTATTAGATGCCACATGCAAGGCACTCTGTTGGCATTTGTTGACTGACTGACTGACTGAATGAATGAATGAATGATGTTTCACTTCACACTCAGACTTCTGTAAGAATTAGGATCAGGACAAGTGTTGCCAAAAAGCTGGTTAGTTGGTAGGGTGGCCTCTAGAGCTGTCTGAGAAGGAGATGCTTCTCAGCTGCCCTCTGCCCCTACCCCCAGATTCCTTGTCATCTCTTGGTGTCTTCTCCCCTTTTTCTTCTTTTCCTGCAGCTGGACCGACCCACTAAGCAGATGCGGGAGGCAGAGGAAAGGCTTAAAGCCATTCCCCAGTTTTGTTTCCCAGATGCCAAGGACTGGATTCCTGTGTCAGAATACAGCAGGTGAGGCCCATCCTGGAATGGATGGAGACAGACTCTCCTTTCCCCACATAGCCCTGGACAGTTAAGTGGGGCCTGTCCTAGTCTCAGCCTACTCTCCTACATTAATTTCAACCTTCATTTAATCCCTGAGATGACAGTTCTTATTCTTGGGGATTCTTTCCTAGGTGGTGTCATAATTTCTCTAATGCCAGATCTCTCCCTCTTTCTTGTTCCCAGTGAGACCTTTTCTTTTATGCTGACTGGGGAAGATGGCAGCAGACGCTTTGGCTACTGCAGGCGCTTACTGGTGAGTAGGGCTATTCACACCTCTGGGGCTGGCTAGCAGGGAATGGGCCAGGGTATGTGTATGTTTCTGTGCCCGTCTACGTCTACATACTTTAGCTTGTATGAAATCCTTCAGTCTGCCCCTGGGTGACCCTCCGACACACACACTTTCACAGATGAGGCACCTCTGGGATAGCAGGGCTCAGAGTAGCCTGTCCAGTTAGATCTCATAATGTGAATATTGAAATCAGGGCAGAGAGTGGATCACCTTTTTCTGGTTTGTCATCTTTTTAGCTTTTCTATACTTTTTCTTTTCATTCATTTTCTTTGGGATTATGGGCTCTGATTGCTACCTCTGGTTGAGATCATATCACTCCAGCAGTGTGTGTATACGTATCAAATTGGGTAGAGGACAACTTTCCTCACCCCCATAACTGGTCAGCATAATAAAGGGAGTAGTCCTGTCTGGTAAAGCTACAATCTGAGCAAAGACAAAGCTCTAAGTTCCTTCTCTGGGATACCGGGAGAGATACCTTGAATGTTAGGAAAAGATTCTGAGTTTTAAAAACAAAAGCCATTTTTCTAAGAGAAGAGTTTTCCCAATTCCCTTCCTATCAGTCCTGGGAAATAGATTGACGTAGAGTACTAGTGGGAGGGCTGGGCCCAGGATCTAGTTCCTATTGAACTCTCCCCAGAAGTCACTGGGTTGTTGATAATATTCTGGGGTATCCAGGTCTTAGTGGGAGAAGCTTGATAGGAGGATTCTGGCCATTCATTTAGAAGCACTTCTCACGTACCCACCGGGGGTCAGGCCACATGCTGATGAGTTCCTAATCTCAAGGAACTTTAGCTGGTCTAGTAGGGGAAGCCAAACTTTGAACACTGAAGGAAAGAGCCAAGGGAATAAACCTGCTTAGGACCTATCATGTTCTAAGATAGACACTTTAAGTATGTCTCGGGTTTTTTGATTTGTTTGGTTGCGCTTTTCTAGCCCTTATAATAGTCCAAGGGATATTATTTTCCCTGATCTATAAATTAGGAAGTTGAGACCCTGAGGTAAAATGACTTGCCCAAGGACACATGGCCAGTGAAGGACAGAGCCAGAATTGATCCAGGTCCTTTATTACCAATCTGGTACCCTCGGATCTCCTCCAAAAGATAGTTTGAGGAGAAGGGATATTGAATGTCCATTGAGTGGAGTTGAGGGGATATAGAATAGTCCAGATGCCAGGTAATCGAGCCAGGAAGAGGCCAGCGTGTCCCTGGATCCCCTGGGCTTGGAGAGGAGCATTTTGAAGACTGCCTTTGCTGGAGAATCGATGGAGCAGAACTGTTGCTCTGCAGTGGGCCTGCTGCCCCCAGGGAAGAGCATGTTTGTCCTGGCGTGCTCAGAGAGGGCCTGCACTGGGTCCCTGCCAAGGGGGCTGGCACTAACTCGGCATTCCTACAGATTGGACACAACGATTCTAACCCAAATCCCACATACTTGATTTAATCACTTGGGGCTTTAGGGGAGGCGGGGGAGAAGGAAAGAGAGAGGAGTGAGTTTCAGACCTAATATGGACAAAAACAGATTCTGCCTTCTCTTTAGATCTGTGACGTGTGGCCAGCAGGTTTGGAGACTGAAATAGCCCCATCTGCATTTGCTTAGCAGCCTGCATGAGGGGCCAGCACCTGCTGCTCTGCTCCCTCCCTTGCCAGGCACTCCAGGCCTCTGAGTCTGGAGGCAGCAATAGGGTCCTGCCAGTTCCAGTGGACTGAATGGACTCTAGTGAACTCACCCCCTCTACTTGAGGGGGCTCCAGGCCTAGGGCGCTCAAAAGTGCTTATCTCCTTCTCCAACCACCCACCTTTTAAATTCTGCCTTCTTTTTGATCTTCACTTCATAGAATATATCCTGTGTCTTTGTGTCCATTTCCCTTCCTTCGTGTCAGAAAGTAGCATGCTTTGGAGGTTAGACAATAAAAACAGAGGCCAAAACAGACTCCCAGCTCCACAGCTTCTAGATGCATGATCTTAGGCAGCAGTTTAATATTTTTGAACTCAGTTGCTTTATCTGTAAGATGGGGATAATAACATTTAATAAATAATAATTCCATCCTCATCTGTTTTCAGTTTGCCTTCCTAGAACAGGGGTGGATCAAGAAAAAGAGAAAAGAGCAGTGACAGAAGGAATATTTTTCAGAAAGTCCCTTATTGGAGGCCATAAGGCTATGTGGCTTGCTCCAAAGAACATACACAAGTCCTTCCCACTGTCATCTAGGCTTAGGAATATAAATCCACAAATTATCCTGCAGCCTTTGCCAAACTGCTTTGTCCTTTGCCAGCCGTTGTCAGTGTCCTGGAAGGAAACATGGAGCCTTGTAGAGTTTGGCAGGAGCCTGGCTTCTTGGGCTAGAAGACCCAGCAGAGGCTAACATCAACCTCCAAAGAAAAGCATCCTTTTTGGGGGGGACCTGGTTGAGTGTACAAGAGGCATGCATTCTTCCTCCATTGAAGGGCAGTACTTAGTCTTCTATTCTCAAGGAAAGCAGTGAGCTATGGTATTCATACATTCTCTCTGTCTCTCTCTCTCTCTCTCCTCCTTGTCCTGGCCAGCCAAGTGGGAAAGGGCCTCGGTTGCCAGAGGTGTACTGTGTCATCAGCCGCCTTGGCTGCTTCGGCTTGTTTTCCAAGGTAAGAGGCTCTGGCTTGCTCCCCTTCCCCCAGCTGACAGCTCCCATAGGACCATCTGCAGCCAGCTTAGATGAGAAAACCACCTGTGTGGGATGGGGAGGGGAGACAGAATGCAAGACCAAGTACAAGTGAGCTCTCTGACTCCCTCCTTATTCCCAAACCTGGCTCTCTACCTGAGGTGGGAAGGGCAGATCTTGACATCCTTTCACTTTGTGCTGCTGGTGGTGGGCACAGGTCCTAGATGAGGTGGAACGCCGGCGTGGGATCTCGGCTGCATTGGTCTATCCCTTCATGAGAAGTCTCATGGAGTCGCCCTTTCCAGCCCCAGGGAAGACCATCAAAGTGAAGACATTTCTGCCAGGCGCTGGCAATGAGGTAAAGATTTCTGCTGCTCCTCTCTCTGGCTCTGGGCTGGCACTAAGTAGGTCCTGCAGCTGAGGTTACAATCTCTGGAAGATGCAGAACATGACACCCTCCTCGCTCACCACATTCATGCACTTAATCACTAGGGACTGGAAAAGTGACTGTAAATGTTGCCCAACTCTCTACTCCTTCTAGGGTCATTCTCTGACCTGTTGTGCTCCACCTTCCCTTTTCTTTTCTATTTAGTAAATATTTACTGAATGTGTGCTCTGTCACAATTAGGTATTATACCAGACATTGGGCCATTTAGTTAGAGAGACAGGGCTGTTTTCCAGGAGTTTCTAGTCTAATGGGAGATCCTAGTTAAATATATACTTCTACATATAAATAGATGATTTCTAAATATGTTAAGAGACAAATGAAAATATATGATCCTATGAGAGTATTTAACAAAGAGTTTGCTGTAGATTAGAGACCCAGAGAAATTACTCCCCTAGAAAGTGACATTTTATACGGGATCTAGCAGTGAATAGAAGGTAGCTAAATGAAGTGGAAAGAGGGAGACTGAAAGAGAAAGGGCATGGATGGGAGATTATTCTAGGTAGTGGAAATAGCATATACAAAGCCAGGAGCTAGGAAAGAACATGTGTCAGTTAAGGAACTGAAAAAAGGCAAAGGATGGTTGAAAGGATGGGATAGAGAGTGGATAGGCAGGCAAAGACCCAATTAGTGTTCTTGCTAGGGTGTAAAACAGCCAAGTTAAGGGTTTTGGATTTTATCTAAAAGAGGATTTGATAAGATCTATAGGTTTTTGAAAGGCCATTCTGCTGTACAGATGACAACATAGGGAGACCAGCTAGGATACTGCTGTGGTAGTATAGGCAAGAGACGGTAGTAGCCTGGATCCAGGAGTGGAACTGGAAAAGTGACTATAAATGAAAAGTAGATGGATTTGAAATATATGTTAGAATTAGAAGCAATTACCCAGTGTTTGATTGGAAATAGGGAATAAATGTTAATGGAAACTTTTAAGCCTGAGTAATAGATAGGGCAGAGAAAAGATCCTAGGACTAGGTCCTCCAGTGAGGAATGATCACGTGAGTCTGATACCACCAGGGGTCAGGATGAGGCATGGCAAAATGCCTGACAGGAGTGAATTTCAGAAGGGGGTGGGGGTCCAGAAGCCTGGGTAGAGTGAGTTTTTCTTTTTTTTCTTTCTTTTTTTTTTTTTTTTTTGGTACTAGGAAATGAACCCAGGGGGTGTTTAACCACTAAGCTATATCCTCAATCCTATATATATTTTATTTAGAGACAGGGTCTTGCTAAGTTGCTTAGGGCTTTGCTGAGGCTGGCTTTGAACTTGTGATCTTCCTGCCTCAGTCTTCGAAGCCGTTGAGATTATAGGCATGTGCCACTGTGCCTAGCGTGTATAGACAACTTTTTGAGGTGGTTGGCTGTGAAGAGATAATAGGGAATGGGGGACAGGAGGTGACAGGAAATGAGGAGCCAGGGGAATCTGTTAAAGACAACTGTTTAGATGCTGGAGGATTGCTTGGATGCTAGAGGAAGATATAGGAGAGAGCAGGGACAATGAGACCGACACTGAGAAGACACAAGTGGTTAACTCTTCCGGGGAAATGACTTTTATTAGGGGAGGAAGATAGGACTGTTATTTGTAATTTTAGATTCTCATCTGATGTTACCTGTTTTCTCAAAATAGAAAGGACAGTCCTCCTCTTGAGAGTAAGAGGTGGGTGTTGGATTCTAGGAGTTGTTAGTTGTTGCAGAGAGTGGGAGAGGGACCAATTAAAAACATAGGTTTGTTGGGCAGTGATAAATACCCACTGACAGTCTTTCTCATGGCTTCTTTTTCTCTGCCCTCCCATTAGAGGGACTTTAGGCCTGATGAGTGGTCTGGGGGTAGGACAGCTGTCCCTTCCCTGACAGCCCAATGTTGTACCTGGCAGTTCTTCAGGATCTGGCCTAGCTGCCTCATGGGACTTGTTCTCATCTCTCTGACTTGGATTACTTAGGGTTCCTGAACGCTGCTTGATTTTGCTCAGAAGAAGCTCACCTTCTTTTCTCTGCAGAGTCTAAGTCAAACAGCCTTTGCTCTGAGATGCTTCACTATCTCTCCCCAGCCCAGGCCTTGGGCCTTTCCTATATGCCCTGCAACTTTTCCCCTATGCTAACACCAGCCTCAGGACTGTGATTGATTGTTCAGGTTCACTCAGCTCCACTGGATTGTAATCTCAAGATCTCCTTGAGGGCAGGGATGAATGAAAAGAGGGCATATAAGCATTCTGGGTGATTTCTGGAGGGCCTGGATACTCTGGGACAGTGAGAGAGTGGGTGGGTGCTGGAGAGCAGAGCTTATTGAGCTACATACGAGGCTCTCAGAAGGGACTTCTGGGGTCAGGGACTGGAGAAGATATAGAGGGACAGGGACTGGAGAAGATATAGAGGCTTTTGGCAAAATCATGGTGTAGAGCATTCCTTCCGCCCATGTTGACTGAGCACTTAGGGTGTCCCTAGCATCATACTAGTCACTGGGCCTTCAGGGAATTCACCATCTGGCAGAAGAAACAATGTAAACCAATTATTGCAACCACTTGTGTCCATTTTGCTGCTTTTCTAGGGCTCAGAGGAATGAATACTGAGCTAGGAGTTAGAATTCTTTCATTTGCTTAGACCTCAAGGAACAAATGAGGTGGCGTGGGGTAAATACCCCTTAAAAAGAGTTATCTCTTGCTGGGGATATCTGGTGCAGTGGTAGCATGCCTGCCTAGCATACTTTTGGCCCTGGGTTTGATCCCTAACCCAGAGAGGGTGGGGAGAAAGAAGAGTTAGTGCTGATATCATAGGGCTATAAGAGGGTATTTGAATTTTTCACCCCAGTTCTCAGGAAGCCTGTTGCCCACAGACACTGAAGAACAAAGAATGAGACTAGGTAGACCCCAGCCACAGCTGCTTTGGCACAGCCTCAGTATTAGTAGCTGTTCCCACTGTCATAGCTGGGGTCATTTGCTACCCCTTACGACCATGACTGCCCCCAGAGAAGTCCCCCCAGAGCTGTGGCACTGACCTTGGAACAAACAGACTTTGCAGGGAGGACAGCTAGGCCTGGCCCAGCCCTGATAAAGATAATCCTGCTTCCTGGCAAGGTTTTTAGACTAGCTAACCCTTGTGTTTTCCTTGTCCCTGGCATGAGTCTTAGGATAATAGAGATAAAGGCCAGAATGGCCTCTGGAAGGAAGCTGTAGCAGGAAAGGGAGGGGAAATGGCAACAAGGACAGCAGCATTGCCTTTCCACAGATAGCTGAGACCAGAATCCTGGGATGTGGAGATGTTGCTCTTCTTATGGCCTGAAGAGCAATGATGAATAGTGGTGTCTGATTAGCATGTGGGCCAAGACCTTTGCTTGGGGAGAGGAGCAAAGGATGGGGAAGACTGTGCAGATGAGTCCTCATTCTTTTTATCTGTAAAAGCAGTCAACTCTCCCTTTCCTAAAATCCTGTATGTGTCCCTTAGTTCCATCTCTGGAGCCTCCCCACTTTCACAGTTAACTCTCTTGCCTGCAGGCTGGTGTTTGAATATTATGTGAGCAGAGCTATAGCCTTAGGGGAGGGGAGACCAGGCCTTATTGCTTAGTGGTGGGGGCTTTGGGACCCTGGGAAGGACAGGATGAGAAAGGCAACAGCTGCCATGTGCCCCTCAACCAGCCTGCTTCCACCCACTTCTTTCTTGTTCTCCCACAGGTGTTAGAGCTGCGGCGGCCCATGGACTCCCGGCTGGAGCATGTGGACTTTGAGTGCCTTTTTACCTGCCTCAGTGTGCGCCAGCTTATCCGAATCTTTGCCTCATTGCTGCTGGAGCGCCGGGTCATTTTTGTAGCAGATAAGCTCAGGTAGGGCCCAGCAGGGCATGGAAGAAGAGGGAGGAGGCAACCCACTAATTAATTCAAGAGATTACCAGTCCTAGTTGTGTGCCATACTGTAGCATTGGTGTGTGGGGTGTGTGTGTGTGTTAAAATCCAAATAGAGAAAAGTTCGCAAACCTGGGAAGAGAGGATGGTTGAAGCAGCAGCGTTGGAGATCACAAAAGATGGCATGATTCAGAACCCAGTGGAGTACTTGGCCTGAGGAAGAAGAAAGACACTTCTTTGCAGCAGCTACAAATGCACAGCTGCAGATATATTTATATGGAAAAGAGTAAGAAATGGAGATTTCTGACTGATGGCCACATTCCCTCTGGTGGGAAACAAGGGGCACCTTTGTGGGAGATAGGCTGAGGAGGGTGGTGAACTCTAGAAAGAGCTGTTGTATGAAGAGTGTTGAGCTAGTCAGTGAGGAGCTGATTGAGGTGTACCTGGAACAGGCAGTGGAATGGAATGGCCCAGGGCTGAGTCTTGGGGGAGAAGGATGAGGTGAATGCATTGAGGATGATTGCAGAAGGTTGGCCAACCAGACTGGGGCAAAGATGTCCAGGGACTGGAGGTACCAGGGAGCTAGGGGGAGCTGGTTTAGGAGAAGTAAGGAAATAACTGGTGGATCATAAGTCTTGGTCCACAGTGTTGTCATTTGTGATTTTAAAGGTAGAGGTCTGATTGAGACCATGGGAGGGGTGGCAGAAGTGGATAGTCACTGAACATGAAGTATTCAAGGAAGGAAGAAGACAGAAACCTTCATAGTAGCTGAGCTTTAAAAAAAAGTGTGTGGGGGGTGGGCAGGCAGGAAGAGGATACAATGTTGGCGATGCTGTGTGTTCTTTTTGTCAGACTCTTATCACAAGCACTGGTTTCTCTAAAGTGGTAGAATTCATTCAGTCATTTAGACAGTAAGCTACCTGCAATATGCCATATCATGTATCAGGTGCTGAGATGAAGGTAGTGAAGAAAAATTCTCTTCCTGGCTTGTCCCCCATTAAGTCCCAAATCCCTGGGATATTTCCTTCTGTATTTATGAGGGGGTAACTGAGAAGAACAGGAGAAATGGTTTTCTAGTTGCTTTCAGAGGGAATGGGGGCAGGAACCCAGGTCCTCATCCCAGGAAAATAAAGGAAGAAAGCTAGAGCTGCTGACTCAGAAATAGCCAGGGTCTAGGACAGTGCCCTTCACATGATCTGTCAGCCTCAGTGCTTCTGTATTCCATGGTCTAGGTGTTTCATGGCCCGTCAGGTCTTTGTGGAGGGACCCATCCTAGCAGCTGGAATCAGCTGGGTATAGCAGCGCCTGGAAACCCCTGCCTCTTCTTTCTGGGGCATGTTCATTGTCAGTCACAAGGCCCCTGGCTACCCAGCTATGGTGCTTGGGCCTGGCCAGACTGTAGTGGCCCTAACAGAGCCTGGACTTTGAGGTTTCCTTTCCTGAAGGTTTTGCCCCCACTTGGGGCTGAGCCTCCTCTCTGCCACCCCCACCATAGCTCAGCTCCCATAGGGTTGTTGAATACAGCTATTGTTTCCGGTAGTTGCAGCTGCCTCTGAGCCCATTCCAGAAGGAAAATACTCCAGGGTACTGTTCTTGGTCCAGTCAACATTTCAAGTTCTGCCTGTCCTGGGTCTTAGAAAAGATGTTTGTTCTCCTCATTTTGGTCTACCTGATTAGACTGGGGAAGGGTGGGCAGCCCTGTGATATGATGGAATATGGAGGCTGAACTGTGGTAGGTCTAGCCAGCTAATGCAGCTCATGTCCACATTTTAGGTTTTCCACAAGTCCTTTATCACTCTGGAATTGTTCTGATATATTTGTGGGAAGATGGTTTTGCATTAATTGGCCCTAGAGGTTTTATGAAACCTTTTGCCTCCAAGCTTTTGGCTCCTTGGAGGGGATTGTGGGGATCAGTGTGTCCTCTGAGCCTGATAGCCCCCCCCCCCCCGCCTTTTATTTTCAGTTGTAGATGGACACAATATCTTTATTTATTTATTTATTTTATTTATTTTTATGTGGTGCTGAGGAACCTTTTATGTGCTAGATGAGTGCTTTACCACTGAGCTACAACCTCAGCCCCTGATTGCCCTTTTCCAGGTCTTTCCAGATGACTCTCATGCTTTCTCTAGGGTAGAGGCTATCAAGCCAGGACATGTGTCTCTGTCTATAGACCAAGTAGTATTTTAGGTGTCCAAAGGGGGGCAGGACAGCCATGCAAGGCCCTGGCTGACAAGCATTTGTGAATATATAGAGGTCCTTCTAGAAAAAGGGGTTTGTTTTTTTCATAGATGAGATCCAGGTTCCCTCTCTGGTGGTAGTTAAAAGTAAAGAGTGAGAGTCCTACCACAGCTGCTCAGGTAGCCAGGGCTTTTATGTCTGATAGGTGGGGTCAGTGATGCAGAGGTAGTATCATGTTTGAAAATGAGCCGGACTATAGGACCCTGTGTCCTCATCTGTCATATGGGCCCTAAGAGGGAGGTTTTTTTTTTCCTTGTTGTTGTTTTGTTTTTTTAATGAGATGGGGATCTTGCTTTTAAGGGATGATCTTTGACTTTCCTACTAAGTGATGGGGGCCCTTGAGGCCAGTGTTTTTTCTGTCTTTACTGGATCCCCACACCAGTCCTCAGCACTTGTGGGGACTGTGTACCTACTTGTGCACAGTCCCACTTCTGTGCACCCAGTCCCACTTCTGTCTCTCATTGGTTATTCAGCTTGACTAGTATCCCTGTGGGTGTGGAGCCCCCTCCAGGGCAGGAGAGGGATGACCTTATAGGGACCTGAGAGGAAAGAGGGGAATGGGTACCTTTAGCCTGCCAAGAATGGTACGAACCTTACCTTCTGATTTCTCTGCACGCCCTCCTCAGTCAGATGATTGTCATCGGGAGGAGTGGAAAGTAAGAGGGCAGAGCAGTAGTAGTGTTGGGCTTGGAAATAGCAAAACAGGTTGTGTCCCAGTTCTTCCACTTATGATCAAACTGACCCTGATATCTCTGGCCCCAGCTTTGAAATGTGGAACTGGTATGATGACCTCTGCAAGACCTTCTGGGTCTTACAGACTATTAATTTGTGATGAACTCTTGCCCATGTTACCCTTTGTACTCCCCGTCTTGCGCTGATAAATCCACCAGCTCAGGCCTACTTGTGCATCTGGGTGGCCCTTTGTGTGTGTGTACATGTATGCAAGAGAGAGTCCCCAAAAAGAGTAGCACCAGTGTCCTTGAAGCCCTTAGTAATGGGTAGGCACGGCTTCTCCACTTTTAGGGGCTGACTCAGACCCCTGAATCCCATTAGCATTTTTGTTACACTGGGAGGTTTAACATCAAAATGTGTCCTGAGCTCCCAGCAGGCTCTAATTACCCTTTTCCTAAAGTGCTGGGCCTGGGCTCAGGTGTTCTGTCTGTCTGTCCATTAGTACCCTGTCCAGCTGTTCCCATGCGGTGGTGGCCTTGCTCTACCCCTTCTCCTGGCAGCACACCTTCATTCCTGTCCTCCCGGCCTCCATGATTGACATCGTCTGCTGTCCCACCCCCTTCCTGGTTGGCCTGCTCTCCAGCTCCCTCCCCAAACTGAAGGAGCTGCCTGTGGAGGAGGTGGGCTACCTAGGGAACCAGTTGGGGGGAAGGGTTGTGGGGGGAAGGAACAAAGCCCTAGGAGAACAGAGGGGGAAGGGAGAAAGACTACTAGGAACTTGTGGCCTCTAGGCTTCTCTATCCAAGTTCTTGTCCTCTCTTGCCTGGAGGTTTATCCCTGCTGGAACTATTCCTGACATCTGACCCTGGGAATATTTGGGGGTGCGGGGGGGGGGGGGTCTGGAGGCTTGGCAGAGGGCATTGCAGGACTTATTCCCTGAACCACTGCCACTAATGACTCCTTTTCTCAGGCACTGATGGTGAATCTGGGATCTGACCGGTTCATCCGACAGGTAAGAGCAATGCAATGCAGACAGTGCCTACCCTTGGCTGGGTGCTTGTCAGACTCAGGCTCCGAAGCATCCTGCACCATCATGCAACTCAACCTTCACAGTCTGTCTGCTGAGCTCCAGGCTCTATACTCACAGTAGACAGGGCCTGGAGAAGTTGATCTTGACCTCAGCAAGCCTTTCTGGTTGGCATCATTAGCTTCTGGAAGGCAGTATGGAAGTGTGAACAACAGGGCCTGGGAGTCTGAAGACTTGACCTCTGGGCTCTGCCACCTTTGAGCCACATGGTCTTGGACAGGCCTCTGAACTTCTCTGAGCCAGTGCTCTCATCTGCAAAGCAGAGATGGTGATAATACCTGCCTTAAAATGTTGTTGGGGATTACACAGATCACTAGAGTTTGCTTTGTAATTTCAAGTTTGCAATCATTGTTGATAACTGTAGAAAGCCTTTATTATTCATGGTAATCCTACTGGCTTTCTATAAGGAACATACCTCAGTGTGTCTCCTCTGGGATTGGACAGTCTATTATTACATTCCACTGATAGAGCTGAGGATTCCCAGGTGCAAGATATCAATATATGGACACTGAACCAGAATGTAGACAGGAATGACAGCCCAGCCTCATATAAAGACGCAGGTTGGGCCAGTCGCCCTTTCTTGAGCTCACTGTACTTTACACCTGAAGAGATGGAGAAACATTGATTTTGGCCATGATGAGCTCTGTCATTTTTTTTTCTTTTACGGATTGAGCCCAGGGATGCTTAGGTGCTTAAGCACTGAGCCACATCCCCAGTCTTTTTTCTTTCTTTCTTTTTGGAGACAGGGTCTCACTAAATTGCTTAGAGCCTAAGTTGCTAAGGCTAGTTTTGAACTTGTGATTCTCCTGCTTCAGCCTCCTGAGGCACTGGGATTATAGGTGTGCACCACTGCACCTGGCAATTAAATTGCTTGTCTTTTTTTTTTTTTTTTTTTTAGTACTGGGGATTTAACCCAGGACCTTTCTCATGCTAGGCAAGCACTTCACCACTGAGCCACATCCCTGGCCCTTTTTCTGATATTTTTTAATCTTTGTAACCTGGGCATGTTTCTGACATTTCTGTGCTTTAGTTTCTCATCATAAAATGAGGCTGATAATATAGTATTGGAGTTATTGGGAGAATTAAATGGAATTTTATATTTAAGTTTTTGTACAAACTTAACATACAGTAAATATTCATCAATCTCAGCTGTGATTATTATCTCTGTGTCTTCCTTCTCCTGCAGATGGATGATGAAGACACGTTGTTACCTAGGAAGTTACAAGCAGCTCTGGAGCAGGCTCTAGAGCGGAAGAATGAACTCATCTCCCAGGACTCAGACAGTGACTCCGATGATGGTGAGAAGGCTTCCCTGGCAGATCTGGCTCTGGTCTGTACCAGACCTTTCTGGCTAATAAGGCTCCAAGTGTAGGACCTTGGTCTCACTCTAGTACCTTTTCTACTCCAGGAGGTTTTGGAAGGAAAATCCAAAGACATGGCAACAACAGAGTCTCTTTTGGCTGATAGGAAACTAATTGGTCCTCCTCTTCAGCTTGCCATAAGCCACTGCAGGAGATGGAAGGAACTTCCTCTTCATGGGAAGCCAGGAAAATCACTTAAAGTGAGGGATGTGGGGAAAGTGATGCTGTAATCTCTGATTTCTACTTTCATTCATTTGCAAGCATTTGCTGAAGTACAATTTATGACCTCAAAGAGCTCAGGGGTAGTTCACAGCCTGTGAGCACTAGAGAGTTTCAAGAACAGATAAGTGGGGGCTGGGGTTGTGGCTCAGTGGTAGAGTGCTTGCCTAGCATGTGTGAGGCACTGGGCTTGATCCTCAGAACCACATAAAATAAGTAAATAAATAGATAGAAAAATAAATAAATTAAAAAAAAAGAACAGATAAGTGGTGTTGGCTGGAAGTTTTGTTGGGGAGAGGGAGACTACACCAACTAGAGATTGGGAGGCCCTATAGCTCTCAGCCTGAACCTCAAGATTTGTTTTTTCCCTTCCAGAATGTAATACCCTCAATGGGCTTGTGTCAGAGGTGTTTATCCGGTTCTTTGTGGAAACTATTGGGCACTACTCCCTCTTTCTGACCCAGAGTGAGAAAGGGGAGAGGGCCTTTCAGCGTGAGGCCTTCCGCAAGTCTGTAGCCTCCAAAAGCATCCGCCGGTTTCTCGAAGTTTTTATGGAGTCTCAAATGTTTGCTGGCTTCATCCAAGACAGGGAGCTAAGGAAATGTCGGGCAAAGGGTAAGGCCAGAGGAGCTTGGGATGGGGGTTATGGGCCTTCTTCTCTAAACTATTTTTGCCAGCAAAGCTGAATAACTAGCTACTGTGATGGAAGCTCTTGGATGTCAGCTAGGGTCGGACTTTTTTTCTTCTGATAGAAATTTTCAAGGGGTTCTCTTCTTTCCCTGTCCCAGTAAATGCTTTTCACAAGGCTGTGCACAGATGGGAGCCATGTGGCTAGATAGTGGGATTACAAATGCTCCACCTAGGAGCATCCTGACACTGATTGCTCAGATAGCTATCTTGTTCAGAGAAAAGAACCAGGTTAAGAAATTTGGAAACTTCTGAAGACCCAGGGGTTAGGAATTTCTTTAGAGATAATTAGACTAGCTGTGTTAGGTTGTTGGGAGTCCCCATTCAAGGCTAGATGGTTATCTGTCTCTAGTTATTTTAGCATCTCTCTAACATTTTTTTTTAACCTCAAGACTTCATATCTAACCTCAATGGATATTATTTCTTCTGTCCACTGATACTACCTATTTAGTTTAACAAAACTGTTGGGAACAACATGGTAGAATTGTAAGAAGCTAGAGATTTCCACTGTGGGCTGCTCTGAAATGTAGAACAGGATCTTCACCATAATGTGCACCCCAGGCAGGCTATGGAGGGTTTTCTTGCTGTCAGTAGAGAACATCTATGAGATGCTACTTATAATATTTTAGATGAGCCAGTCTGAATTCTGATAAAATGTTCTTATGAATTATAATCCCAGATGCTTTACTTCTCTTTTGGCATATCTGACCCATGGTTCATCATACAGACTTCCAGTGACTGTTCTTTTCCATGTTCCTATTTCTTCTCTTAACCAGGTCTCTTTGAGCAGCGAGTAGAACAGTACTTAGAGGAGCTCCCTGATACTGAGCAAAGTGGAATGAATAAGTTTCTCCGAGGTTTGGGTAAGTAGATAAATGATATAGATATTCATCAAGGAGGGAGAGCATCTGCATCCCCAAACACTCTAAATTAGTGACAACAGGTATTTATGTAGTGCCATAGAGAACAGGAAGAAATATCTTGGGGAATGAAGAGAAGGTTCCCAGCCATTACTCCAAGGGCATTTAGCCCAAGACTTACCAAACTTTAGAACAAAGAGAAACCAAGGATTATCACCTAAGTCTTTTAGGATGCTTGACTTCCTGTGTGAATATGAGGATTGTTAGGACCAATGAGCTTTGCCCTTCCAGTAAATCTCCACCACATCAAGAAGCTCAGCCAGCTAGATCACAGAATAATAGCATCTCTCAGTTTAAAGGGAAATTGAGGCCAGGCAGGTGAAGTGACTTTCCCAAAGCCACACAGTGATTAATACTTGGTGCCCTTATTTTGGAATGTTTTCACTACACTGATGAGAGCTATCATAGCTGTACTGTAGTTTTTCTAATTGTTTCTTACTGGTAAGGGTAGGGTTGCAAGGAGTGGGAATGAGGTTGGAAGAAATATCATTTAATATTCTTACTATTGCCCTCTCTGGCCCACAGGCAACAAAATGAAGTTTCTTCATAAAAAGAATTAAACCCCTTTTCCAGTAGCAGAGTCCAATGCCTTGCAGAACCTGGAGCCTAGGGAGAGGGCCCAGCCTGGGACTTTCTGGGCTACTGCGTCTGCTCTGCTCCCACAGACCCACCTCCAAGCCAGCCCACCTGTGCCTTCACCATATCCCAGGATACTGTTTGTAAATAATCTGCTGTAAGCTTTCTTTTAACTGTTTTTGTAACAAGCAAAGAGAATCTGATAAATATTTGTATATTCCCAAGTGGCCGGGTGCTTTCCTGCCCTGTCTGAGCATGGATGGAGTTTTGCTGGGTGCTGGTGACTGGCCAATTATGTGCAGCTGACTGTCTCAGCCAAACCACTGATCTTCCCTGGAGGCTTTTGGCCTGCCTGCCTGGGGCCCCTGCTGCCAGTCTTGGGCTCTGGAGAGCGAGTGCTATCTTGTTATGATGTACAGGAGGACTTTTTTTTTTTTTTTGTAATCTTAGAGTTTTATATTTTTTTCTAGTAGTCCCCCTCCCCTAAGCCTCTGTTTTTGAAAGGCAAAGGCCATTCATTTTCCATTTGCAACATGGCATCAGGCTCTTGGGCCTGGTTCTCTCTTGTTCCTCCTCCCCTCAGAGATGGTCAGTGAGTCGTGGGAAGCCCAGCCCCCAGCTCTGCCTGTGCTCTCTGGGCCTGGCTCCCAGTCAGTGGTGGCCATGATGCGGTACAGGGCATCCCTCCTTCCCACCATCTACAGGTGTTCTCAATAAACAATGTACAGTCATTTGGGCCCAAGAGCCCATGTGTTCCTTGGCTTTATTATCTGGAGTTGTCTCTTCTGGGAATGGGCTGAGACAGGTCGATCAGGGATGAAATACCATCAAGGAAGCTGAGCACTTGATAAGGGGTTAGTTTTATTATGGGTCACTGACCACCCCTGATATAGAGTTCTCTTGGCCTGGTTGTATGACAGGTCTTACATTGTTCTCCTTCGGCTTCCCTCTCCAGTAGCCTACTTTTCAGACTCAAATAGAGTGTTTCCAGTGATGGAAATAATACTTCTTGCCCTCTGCCTCTATCATTAGGTGAATCTTAACATTTTGGTATTCATTCTGAAGCCCTTAAGACACCATTGGGTATCCTGACAACCATTGCCAACCCTGGGGTGGCTCATACCCTTGACCCATTGCCTGTGATGCTTCCATGTCATTCTGTGAATAGTTTTTCCTTCGGAACCCTCTTTTGCATCCAGAAAGTCCTAGTATATTCCATGAAGAGGAAGGAAAGAAGCAGGGTGGGGGAAAATGGTGACTTAGGCTCTCTATCCACCAAGACCTTGAAAATAGAAAGTAGAGACCTTGAAAATGCCCAAGATGAGGCATTTATGGAACTCTCTTCACTGATTCTGGGTTTGGGTCTGGTAGGATTGAACTGTGAAGGTTTTGTAACCTTCCACCATAGCCTATTTAATCAGGAGTTTTCTTTCTTCCCTCATCTCCACTGACACCTACACAGGTCCCAGCCTGTCCCTAGAATGGGAATCATAAAGCCAAGTTAAGTGTCTTCTGAGGAGACAAAATCACCTTCTCTGGAAAAAGCTTCCTACAAAATTGGCCTTAGCATTTGCCAGGAATAGAAAGGGAGGGATTGAGGCCTCATAAATCTGGGTTTTCAGTTGAGGATGAGAAATAAGAGGGATTAACTACGGGCTGGGGGAGGAGCTCAGTTGGCAGAGTGCTTGCCTGGAATGCACAAGGCCCTGGGTTCAATCCCCAGCATAAGGGAAAAAAAAAAAAAAAGGACTAACTAGAAAATTCATAGTAGTGTGTAGCAAACCCCAGTACTCATCACTGTTAACTCAGCCTGGGCTTCATGACAGAGGATGATTCCTTAATAAAAATAAATATCTGGTTCCCCAAAGGTGTTCTTGCTCTTTCTCCCTAACCCTGTCTTTTTTTTTTTTTTTTTTTTTGGTACTGAGGAATGAACTCACAGGACTCAACCAGAGTGAGCCACATCCCCAGCCCTATTTTGTATTTTATTTAGAGACAGGGTCTCACTGAGTTGCTAAGTGCCATGCTTTTGCTGAGGCTGGCTTTGAATTCTTGATCTTCCTGCCTCAGCCTTCAGAACCACTGGGATTACAGACTTGTGCCAGCATGCCCACCTCCAACCCCTTTTTATGTGACCCTAAAGTACCTTCAGACATGTGATCAGATGACAAGACAGAGGTGCAAATTATTATTGTTTTTTGTAAAGTTTGAAACATCTTAAAAATAGTCTATCAACCCTGGGTGAATGCCAGAAGGGCATGTCTCCTTCCTCCTGTGGCTGAAGCTCTTATCCTAACTTAGAAAATGGACATTGGCATACAGTGGCTTGCTAGAGTCATCACTATGGGCAAGGCACAGCTTTATGGGGAAGGGCTTGAATACAGTTGGTCTAGTTTGGAGTTCACAAAAAGTGTTCAAGTCCTCTTTCCAAGTTCTGCTTTCATACAATCTCTAGACCCCTAAACCAAGGACTCAACCCTATAGATCCAATTTTTTTTCTTCCAAATAGCAAGTACTGTAACTCACCTCTTCATTGTCCTGAAATGAAATCCATAGACAACACAACTTTTTTAACTATAAGAAGAGAAATAAAAAGAAAGTAATTTGTTTTAAAATAAATATGTAAATGCTTGGGCACACCTGTACTAGAAGATACAATGAAGTTACATCTCTAAACCTATACATAGAATCACTGTGAATATGAGTTGCATATTATGTAGGCAAGTATGCTGTATTAGCAATCATATCTGATTTTGCTCAAAGGAGTTTTCTGAAATCAATATTTTTTTGTGTGTGAGTACTGAGGATTTAACCCAGGGGTGATTTTATTATTGAGCTACCCAGACTTTTTATTTCAAAAGACAGCGTCTTGTTAAATTGCTTAGGGCCTTGCTAAGTTGCTGAGGCTGGCCTCAAATTTATAATCCTCTTGCTTCAATCTCCATGCCTGCACTTTGTAATGTACAAGATTACCCTGGAATCATAGAAAACTGGAAAGTATATAAAATCTCTGGGTGGGGAGACCTTTTTTTTAAAAAATATTTATTTTTTAGCTTTTAGGTGGACACAATATCCTTATTTTATTTCTTTGTGGTGCTAAGGATCGAGCCCAGTGCCTCATGTATGCCAGGCAAGCGTGCTACTACTTGAGCCACATCCCTAGCCTTGGGGAGACCTTCCTAACCTGTAAATGGAATTTAAATTCTAAGTTGTATGTTTGTTGTGAAGGACCAACCCACATATTGCAGAACATTTAGCATCCCTGGTAGCTTCCCCCATATGATTATGACAAAAACCAAAAAGTGTTCTGAAGGAGTGTTGTGATTCACACTGGATAGTCTGGAATTAGAGCATTCCCCCAAATAAGCCTAATTACATTCACAGCACACACCTCCCCCCCACCGCCCTTTGGTGGTGCTGGAGATTGAACCTAGGACCTCACAGTACTAGGCACTCTACCACTAAGTTACACCCCCAGGTCCCTCAGTTAAATTTTTGTTTAAAAACCCTCTTTATATCACATGTGTATTACTTGTCTTGTACAAGTAACTTACAGGAATATATAAATGGTACTTAAAACAATTTAAAGTGGGAGTGAAAATACAATAAAAATTGGTATATAAAATAAAGCCAGCAATAAAATATACAACTTAACCTATATTTTTACCTCGGAGTGGTACACAAAATTATAGTTTCTACAACCAGATGTAGTGATATGCATTCTAAAAATTCTTAAATTCATTTGCCTGTGGAGATCGTAAAAGACGCCCTGAAAACTGGAGAAAAAACATTACTTTTCATTAATTTCTGTAAGCTTTCTAAATTATTTTTTGTTCATTTATGTCATTTTTAACATGAAATATGCATTTGGTTTAAAAGCGACTACCAAAACACCATCTTCCTCCCTTGCTTTCCAAAGCTCAGTAAAGGAAATTCCTTTTACGTTCTTATAGAACATTTCCAGACGAGCGTTTTCTTTTTTAGCTTAAAAGATGTAACAATCATCTTTTAAGGCAACTGAAACACTCTTGGGGTTTGTAAAGTCCCTTTTTGAAAACTGCACAAAAATACCACACCTTCTGTTCGTAAGTGCCCTGAAGGGAACTCCGATGAGTTAAATCTTCCCGCCTTGCCCAGGAAAAACCAGTGTTTCAGCAAAGCAGGCTGGCTCCACCCTCTATCGGAAGTGACTAGCTGTGTTTCCGGTCTGGTCCGACACGGTCCCCAGAATTAGATTTTCACACAGGAAGTGGTTGGGGGGCGGGGCCCAAAGGGAGCCGCTTCTGAGCTCTGGGGCAGTAGCGCGAGGGCATTACTGTCTGGCGGTGCGGGTGGGAGAAAACAGGGGCAAAAGGCTCCAACCACAGAAGGCCCAAATAAGCCTTTTAGTTCAGATGCCGCTCATTTTGCCTTCAATGTAACTGCTTTCAACTTATTTCAGTCCCAGAGGCTGTCTGATCATAGGATAATAACGGGAGTATTTACTTGAACTAAAAGAATACATCTGGTGATTTTGATTAACTGTATTTGCAAATTGTGTGGCATTTTCTGTTAAGTACTAAATTACAACTGCAATTGGGATTTGGATGAAAATCTATTCCAAGAAATACGTATTGGGCTAGAAATCACATCCTTTGTAATCCAAGTTTATTAATGATTGGTTTGTCAACTTACCATCCTAGTCATAGTTTTCATATTTTAAGAGGGATGTGAACAAGTTTCAAGCAATCAAGTCAGAGATTATCACTGATAAAGCCCTGCTTCCCACATCTGGGAGGACCTTTCCAACCCCAGTACTAGTCAGCCCTGAATATAGTGCTAATGAACCTTTATGCCCATGGGATAGGCCAGTCAGTACTTGGGCAGTCTCATGAAAAAAATACCAGTGGTTGTAGGCTCAAGAAAGCACTACAATTCGGGTGTATTGGGACTCCAAGCTACTTCTTAGTCTGGTCCCAAGTGGGACACAGAACCAACTGTTCTCACAATTAAAAATTTTTTTTTAGTTATACATGGGCACAATATATTTTATTTTTATGTGCTGCTGAGGATGGAACTCAGAGTCTCACATGTGAGAGGCGAATGCTGTACCGCTGAGCCACAACCCCAGCCCCACCCTTTTTTAAAAAAGTATTTTTAGTTGTAGGCAGACAAAATACCTTTACTTCATTTGTGGTGATGAGGATTGAACCCAGTACCTCAGGCATGCAAGGCAAAGGCTCTACCAACTGAGCTACAACCCCAGTCCCTGGTCTCACCAATTTTGTGTTCCTTTCAGTGAGTTTCTAAGCAGTAGGACCTTTCCCTTTAAACTGAAATATCCATCAAAACATTGTCTAGATCCATAAAGGCGATTCAAGTCGTCACATTTAGAGAATAGGATGTTTGGCTTTTGTCACCTAGCCATCTAAGATTAATGCCAAAAGGGCTGGGGATATAGCTCCATTGGTAGAGTGCTTGTTCACATGCACAAGGCCCTGGGTTCAATCTCCAGCAGCAGCACCCCCCCCCCCCCCAAAAAAAGGCATCTGCCCAAGGTACCTCAGCAGCTGTCCTCTAAGCCAGGAGATGAGATTGGCCTGGGGAGGAGTACTACTATGACTTCTTTATTCACCTTCCTCCAATACCCCACCCTCTCATGCCTGATCAACATCCAATTCAGTAACCAAATCCTACTATGTCTTCTGAAATTTTACCTATACACCCTCCTCCCCATTTTGTTGCTGCCTTT